CATATATATATATATATATATATATATATATATATATGTGTATGTATGTATAACATTTATTTTAAAGATATATAATAAAAAAATGTAGTGTCACCTGTAATTAAAGTATCATAGACAACTATAAATATCACCTAAGATAATCAGATAACCTTTTAATGAACACAGGGTCCGACATTTCTTGAACCCTAGACGAAAGAATAAGTTTTGACTGTTATATATAAACATTTTGAAATGTAAAATATTTATAATATAAAAATAGATACATGATTTAATTAAGACTTAATATATCATTTGTTTTATGAATTTTATTTGAAATTTTTTAATTAGGTCTTAAGCTTAAAAAATTATAATTTGTTCTTTCATTTTTTTATTTATAATTTAGGCCCTTTGATTAGAGATTTGTTTATAATCTGTGATATTTAATTTTACATAATATATTCACTTTTGTGTACTCTAACAATCTTATTAGAATATTATTTAATGTCATCATTCATGTATATTAGGTTTTGTATTTCACTAGTTAAAATTTCCTAATGTTCTAGAATTCTATGTTTAAAGAGATTACGAAAATTTTTATAGGTAAATTAAAATCCACTAGGCATGTACAATAATACATGAAATAATAATTTGAGGTGATTATACATGTATAAAGATATACAAACATGTCATATTTCATAAAATGTAAACATTTAGACGAAGCAATAAGTTTGGACTCTTATGTATAAACATTTTAAAATGTAAAACATTTATAATATAAAAATAGATACATATTTAATTAAGGCTTAATATATCATTTGATTTACGATTTTTTTTGAAAATTTTTAATTAGGTCTTAAACTTAAAAAAATTATAATTTGTTCTTTCATCTTCTTATAATCTAGGCCCTAATATTGGATATTTGTTTATCATATGTGATATTTAATTTTACATAATATTGTTCATTTCTATGTACTCTCTGACAATCATATTAAATTACTATTCAATTTCATCATTCAAGTGTATTAGGTTTTGTATTCTATTGGTTAAAATTTCCTAATGTTCTAGAATTCTTATGGTTAAAGAGATTATGAAACTTTAATAGGTAGATAAAAATTCACTAGACATGTATGATAATACATTAAATAATAATATGAGGTGATTGTGCATGAATAAAGATATAAAAACATGTTATATTTTATGAAATGTAAACATTTAGACGAAATAATAAATTTGGACTCTTATATATAAATATTTTGAAATATAAAACATTTATAATATAAAAATAGATACATGATTTAATTAAGGCTTAATATATGATATATCATTTGATTTATGAATTTTTTTTTATAAAAAATTAATTAGGTCTTAAACTTAAAAAAATTATAATCTGTTCTTTCATCTTTTTATAATTTAGGACATATGATTAGAGATTTGTTTATGATATGTGATATTTAATTTTATATAATATTATTAATTCATGTGTACTCTAATAATCATGTTAGATTACTATTCAATATCATCATTTATGTGTATTAGATTTTATATTCCATTGGTTAAAATTTTCTAATGTTCTAGAATTCTTTTGGTTAAAGAGATTATGAAAATATTTATAGGTAGATTAAAATTCACTAAACATGTATGATAGTACATGAAATAATAGTTTGAGGTGACTGTACATGTGTAAAGATATAAAAACATGTCATATTTAATGAAATGTAAACATTTAGACGAAACATTAAGTTTGAACTCTTATATATAAATTTTTTGAAATGTAAAATATTTATAATATAAAAATAGAAACATGATTTAATTAAAGCTTAATTTATATTTATAATTGGAAGAGAAAAAATATATTTTCAGAAAATACCATTTAGAAGACAAAAAAGTATACTTTCAGAAGGTAAATATTTTTACTCTTCCCAAAAATACTTTCTAGAAGTATATTTTAAAAATTTGAAAACACAATTTCAGAATTATAATAAAAAATATATTGTTTCTAGTCAATAATTAATCATAAAATTAACATGTCATACTTTAAGAAATAACATCCTCAAAATTCACATCCTCATGTCCAATGTTTGCAATATTGAAGATAGAGTAAAAAATATTTAAAAAATATTAAAATTAAGAGTAGAAAAAATAGGATTTAAAACATAATAAAGATAAATAGATGTCTAGATTGCTGGAGAGAGAAAAAATCACATGATAAAAGGAAGAATGATTAAAGAAGGATAAAGTACCAAAAGCAAATGAATGAAGAATGGTTGAACGAATGAAGACGACAAATTTTAGAAATAAAATTTATTTTAAAAGGAAATAAATTTAAAGGGGAGAGACCAAATGCCAATGGTGTAATTTTTATCAAATATTACATTATTCAATTACTTTATATTATATGTGAATTTTACCGACTTAACCGTTTAGTTATAACTTAATATTACCTTATATGTTTATATCAAATTTTAATAAAATTGAATAACAATTTGAAGGTAATCAAATTGTTTATGTTTTTGTATAATTTTAAAATGTATATTTTACGTCAATTTTGATCTATATGAATGAGATATTAAATTATCTTGCATTATATAAAATTTTGTATATATATATATATATATATATATATTTAAGAATAAGGATCTTTCAATTTAACAGTAAATTTTGAAATATAATTTAATTAAGTTATTAAGTAGTGTAATAGTTTATACAAATTATATTGATATCATTTGATCACTCTTCAAATTAAAAAAATATTTAAAAAAATAAAAAAGAGTTGTTTATATTAGAAAGTAGATGTGTATATAACATTTGCCTTATGAGAATTGTTACATGTAACTACTAACTAACCCTTTCTTTAGAATTATTTAAGATGGAGACATTTGAGAGGAAGAGATTTAGGAGATATTATATATATATAAATATATAAAATGAAAGATTCATTTACTTTAAGAATAAGTCTATATAAACTTAATTTTTAAGAATAAGTCTATATAAACTGTCCGTTCAATAATTCATGTTCTACATCAAATTTTAATGATCTAACTATTAAATTTAAAGTTCTTAATACATAATATATATCTCTCTCTCTTTCTATATATATATATATGTCTGTCTCTATATATATATATATATAGAGAGAGAGAGAGACAGAGAGAATTCGAATCATGTTTTTATTTTCTTTTATATATTTCGTTAGTGCTGAACATATACTAAAATAATTGTCTCAATTAATTGTCATATTATTAAATTTAAATATTTAAAATCTAAAATTTTGTTTGTTTTAAAATTATTATTAATTACCGTATATGAGTAAAATTATTTTATCAACAATATTTTTCATTTTTCATTACTTTTTCATATATCCAAGCAAAGGAAAACATAACAACTTATATCATTCCTTTCGAATTCCATGAATCTAAAGTCCAAACCATACAACATTTCAGTAAAAAATCAATTCAATCAATACCCTTCTATTTCCTTCTTTCCTAATTCTTTCATCTCAATTTCACTTCCTATCCAAACAAAGAGTAAATGTTCCAATATGCAAAAGGAAAATGCATTTATATCTACACATTGTTTCATATAACTTTATTTTAATTTTTAAATAAAAACTTTCTACATTCTTGGCACCGACAGTGACACGGGTGGTTAGCAAGATCCTATGCAAAATACACGTAAAATCAATTAATGAATAGCTTAGGGATCAATGAAAAGTCCCTCTGAAACAATACCACATGTGTCGGTGATGAAAATACAGATCCCATAGCAAAATAAAACTTATGTAACACATGTGTCGGTGATCAACATACAGACCCACCCCAAAGAAATAAAAACTTATGATAGGGTCAAGGACATTTTCAATTCATTAGGCCGTAGTGTTTGATGGGACATTTTTAGCATCGACATGTTCATAATATTAAGTTGTAGTCTCTTTAAAACCTTTCCTTGTCTTCACTAGTCTGTCAATAATTTACTGATCATGGGCCCACGCTATGGAACACAAAAGCATCACCATTCAAAAACTGAACCAAACCAAATCAATCCCATCATAACATAAGCATAAATAGGAGTTTATTTATTCTTTAACCCGGATAAATATATGTACACATTCATCTCTCTGCAAAATTTTGGTGAGGTTCAACGAGAGTAGCAGAAGAACCTAATTCCATAAGCACTAATGAACTGTAATTACAGCATTTATATATATATATATATATATATACATCATTCACCTCACATCTCAGACAGAAGATTGCTAATTTTCCGAAGCTCTTTGAGAGCTGTCATGGCAGTAACTTGGCCTTTGCGTTCTTGTTGGAAAACAGATTCAATTACCTGCACCACAGGGAAACACAAGCATGTGCAACCAAGAGAAGGGAAATCAGCAATAGTTTCATAATTGTGAAAATGAAGGGAAAACAATATAAAGCACTTAAATTGTGTATATCCTGCTCAATAACTAGCAAGGTGGTCTAGCTGAGTTGGTTGATCAGGGTGTGTGAGTTGTTGTTAACCCCTTGGATCAAAAAACAAATTTTACTCAATAACATGTCAATGAAGTGTGACTGTGGGAAAGAACATTACCTGAATATGGTCTAGCATAGTCTGCCCAATATTCTTCAAAGTGCCCATCACATTCTGGTCGACAGATTCTCCTCTGCAACTAACTGAACTACCATGCTCATTAGCCGAAGATGACGATGGCTGTGGAGTATTATTTTGATTGCTGCATTGGTTGGTGGCTTCAGCAGCACCTCCGACTTTGTCAGAGGTAGCCTCAGTAGCATTCCGACCAAATGGCCACAACCACTGAAACTTATTCTGTTTTTTCTCTTTAGGAGATGTGGCTGTTTTTACTGCATGATCGTTATTGCACCCTGACACCAGCGCTATGTTCTCGGGAGGACCAGAGATTGGAAGAGGTGGATCATTGGGACTGGTATCTGAAGTTTCATTGCATTCAGAATTTCCAGTATTGCACTGTGATGTCTGAGAAATGTTCTCAGGAGGATCGGAGATTGGAAGGGATGGATCATCGGGAATGGTATCTGAAGTTTCATTGCATTGAGAATTTCCAGCATTGCACTGGGATGTCCGAGAAATGTTCTCAGGGGGATCGGAGATTGTGAAGGATGAAGTTTCATTGACTTCATCAAGGGATGAATTGGATGCAACACTACTTTTCCCTGAGGTAATTTCATGATCATTGGCCTCATTAGGGGGACTAGTTGGATCAGAAAATATAGACAAGTCTCCCTCACTGCCAGAATTTCCACTTGGAGATCTATCATCAGACGAGTAATTGTTGTCTCCATTACAGCCATCTTCTTGTACTTCAACTGTTTCAGAAGGATTATCATGCTGGCATAGGGTTTCATCTGGCTGCATTTGCTCTGCATCTTCATCTGAGCCGAGTGCCTTGCGAAGATCTTCCAACAAACTGCGCCTAAATTTTTTGCCACCCTGAATCCTCGAAGGAGGGCCAGATTCTGCCCTTCTCAAACTGAATTTAACCTTTTCAGCCCATCCCTTTTTTCGAGTGGGAACCTGTTTTTGTAGACCATCTTGCCTAAGCTCTTCAGCCCTTTGGGCAACCCTCCACTTTTCTTCCCAATAGCTATCAGGTAACACATTCAGAGATGTTTTTGGAGACACGGATTCAGATGGAAGGGTCACAGATCTAGTAAACAGTGATTTATTCTGGAAATGAAACCCTATATACAAAAGTGATGAGGATGAAATATCAACACTCAGTGCAAGCCCCTGCAAGGATTTGGCCTTCTCTAGTAGTTTTTCAATATTAACATCTTCAGGAAAGTTTAATAATCTCTGGAGACACCTTGTAGGGTTTTCGGTTGCAAGTAGTGAAGATCTTAAATGAAGTAACATTGCTACTGCCATCCCTGAGATAAATGCTCCCCGAGGTGAACTTAAGATCCTGAATTCACAGTCAACAGCACCTTTTTCCATGCTGCTATTCTCCGATGCAAAGATCTCATCCCAGATGATCAAGAGGTTGGCAAGTGAAAATTCTCGTCCAAATAAAACTCGCAACCATCGAAGAGAAAAGTACTGGGGTTCAACCCCAAGATCAAAAAGATGGCTATGGAGAGATGAATCTACAAGAGACAACAAATAATACAATGCAGTAGAAGCTTCAATCACAGGAGGCAAGCTGCTATGGGACCCAGATACAGGAGAGGAATAGAAGAAATCGGCCATTGCAACTGAACCATGGGCACCACTCATCAAAGCGTCAAACATACAGAATGCATCATGTTCCATGAATTTCTCAGACAAAACAGCACCTAGTTCACCTTCAGCTCCGTAGGCATCACTTAGTAATACAATGGTCTGTATCTCAGGATCAAGTTCACCATGACTATTGACTTTCACAGCATTTCCACGTGAATCAAATTCATCCTCTGTCAATTCTGGAGATTTTCTAAAATCAAAACTGTAAGAAAGATCATTGTCTTGACATAAAAGGCCATCAAATCTATCCGTAAAGTGATCTTCATAAAGCTTCCGAATTTCTGAAAGACGCTCCAGATCAACTTGGAGAACATAAAGCAGAGGGGCAAGTAATTCATGCATTCCTATAAAATAAGTGAATAAAAGAAATCCATTAATGTAAAGTCAATATTTCCATAGCAGCATATAATATCAAAGCAAAAACCTGAATTGATGGGATTTGATCTTACCATGTATTAGGTTTCTCAACAATTAAGAGCCTGTTTGCTTCAGATTAGGATATACTTGATGTTAAAATAATTGATTTATGTATTATTATAGTGTTTATACATGATATAGGTAACCATTAAAACATATCATTACACTCTTTTGATTAGTATAGTCTTACTCAATTGGATGCTCTACTGTTAATCATGCATGGTTGAAAATTGGAAGGAAAAAAATGACAAACATCACAAAATGAGAAAGCATACAAGTCAAGGTTAGTTAGCTATTGTTACTTATTTGATGTTGGAAGAAAAATACAGCACACCAAAATGAGAAAGCATATTTAAAATGGCAGTAAATTTAATTAAAGTTAATGTATTGTTTGGCATCAATGCTTGGCCGAGAAATTTACCTTGTCTATAACTGAATTCTGGATGCCTGAGACACCACAGTAATAAAATTCGTCTCAACATGCTTTGGCATCCCAGTGTCTGAAAATAACTGCCATGTTCTGGGTATAAACGCGATAAATCCTGATCAACCATTCTCTCCAGCTCTGCATTGCGGAAAAAGCGACTCCATGTACTATCTGCATATAAAAGGCCAAATTACATTTATGACAGATTAAATTTAATTGTCCATACCGGAAAGTGAGAAAGATGGCTAACCATTAGAAATTTACATGATAGAATTCCAACAAGACGACAACATAATATACGATAATCTTCTTCTTTTAAATCCATTATTACTTTTCACCATAACCAATTGTTGGTTGCCACTAGGCCCTAATTCTTATCTTAATCTTCACATGAATTGAATTTCCACAAAATAAGCAGGGCACGTTGCTATATTCCTCCATAACTAAATAAACTGTCATTTTATGTATCCTTAGAGAAAAGCAATAGGTATATAATATGGCAGCAACAACTAAACGGATACCACTACCACATGAAGACTGAAGAGGTTCTAGTTAAGCCAACTGAAGGTTGAATATATATACATTAGCAGCGCAGATATCAAATATGCTCTCTACTTTGTAGAAATTCCGGAAAGCACATTAGCCAAATCAGCGATCCATAATTAGATTAACATATTTAACTGCATTTAAGATGCTGGAATGAAGTGAGAAAAACTTATATTTACCTGGATTTTGTGAAAGTGGATTGTCAATGACCAGATTAGGTGAATTAGCTCCATCCTTTGGAACATGTGGTTCAACCAGAAGGCGCCTTCTCAAGCCAGCATATCTGAGATGATAAAATATAGTTTGAGATTACCATTAGCTGTATGAAAACACAGTCATTTTAAATGTGTAATAATATTGATGATACCAAAAAACACATTATCAAAATGCCAGGTAAACACATAATCCATAAATTTCACAAGTGACCCTCAGTACCAGAGGAAGAAACAGCTTAATCATTTGTTATTTTCCACCAATGAAATTATAGATGCAATCTACACTCACAAACAGATATTGACACAGAAGAAGATATAATCTAAAGCCAATAACCTAATGAATACATCCCAATTCAAATGCCAGAATTTTCTCCAAAGAAAACAATAAAAATTTTCTTAATTTTTCAGGATTTTATCTCCACCACTAAAAAAAAAAGAGAAACCACCCAAACAAACAAGTTTTAGTAGCAGTTCCTTGCCGTCGAGAATCCAAACTAAAACAAAATCAGCACAGTACTACATGGCTATGGTCACCACTCACCATCAACATGCAAAAAAATATAAGGCAAATAACATACCAATACATCATCATCTATCAACAGGAATAAAAGTTAAAGAAAATTCACATAATTATTAAAATTAAACACCAAAAAATAAAAAAGCTAAAAACACGATCCCGGAGGTGACGATATACCTTCTTCTACAATTAGCGGTGACTCGACGAAGATCATCAATGGAAGTCGAAGTCGAAGACGGCAACACCCCAAGATTTATTCTCCACTGCAACCCTCTAAGATCACCGAATCGCCGACTCTCCGGCGCCGATCGCCGCGAAACGGCGTCGGAGCTCGGCGGAGACGCCGACAACGGATCCGACAGCGCCGGCGGCATGACCTTGCAGCAATTCCCGACAACCCAGATGCTGAAACGCAACGAAAACCCCGAAAGACGCGAACTTTCTGCAGAAAACAAACAAGCAAACAAACTTGGCCTCAAACTCTGAAGTCAAAAGAAACACACAAAGTAACCAAAAAATAAAGGAAATTAAAAAAAAAAAAAAAGCTTACTTGATTATTGAGCAAATTGAGATAGGAGAGTGAAGAAAGAAAGGAGGGGAATTTAAGAAGAAAAATGAAGTGGGGTGGTGTGGTTTTGTGCAGAGGAACCCAATGATTTGCACAGTTGCATGTGTGTTTTTTTTTATGTATTGATTGGAGAAGAGAGAGAGAGAGAGAGAATAATAAGTTTGTTTGTGTTGTGAAGGGGAAAAGGTAGAAAAGCAGCGGTGTAATGGTGTGTGTTGGGACGGAAGGTATGGTGAGTTGTCTTATTCAGCAAAATTTCCACATCATTTTGTGGTCTTTCTTTCTCTTGTTCTGGTTGTGTTGTGAGAGAGAGAGAGAGAATATAAAATGTCACATGGCTATCGTATTGTGGGAGGTGAAATTCGCCAATATTTTGTCACATTCTGCTCCATCATCACTGCTTTGCCTGCCTCTGCATGCCCATTATCCCTAACTTTCATCTCACTTTCAACAAAATATTTATTATCATAAATAAATTCACCCCCCCATTTTCTTCTTTCTTTTTAAAACCTTCTGTTTTTCTTAAAGGCTAGGCTGTGGATGTAAACTTTTTTTTATATTTAATTAATTAAAGCTTATTTTATATTAATTCTGTGTCTCTGTCTAATCATAAACAAATAAAATTAATAAAGTTATGTGTATAAATAAATATTATGTTTTTTAATATATAAATTATGTTAATTTAAAATTTATATGAATAAATATTTTTAATATATAAATTATGGTTGCTATATTGTTTGGTAAAATTGATGATTTAGATGATAATTGAATTCATTAGAATGTGCTCTATAAGTTAGGGTTCTTGTAGATTGATGAGCACCCTTAGTTATATGAATTAATAAATAATTGGGAGATTTTACTTATGGATGTACCTTAACATATTTGTAATATCTTTTTGTGTGATTAATGAAATCAATTTCTGTTTATTGGGTTAGAAAGTATACACTTGGGGCTATAATTTATACTCTAGAATCAAGTAAAAATGTTAAAAATTGATTGAGTTATACGAGTTATAAGTTTCGTCTCCATTGTAGTGCACGAAATATTAAGTTTTGTGTTGTCAACCATGTGAGGTTACCTTCACAGCATTTTTAGGCTTCGTGTTCTTCACAAAAGTTGTAGCCTCGGATATTATCTTTCAACTGACGTGAGAATCACTCAAAATGGTTATGTATAACTCAAGTTATGGTCAAAATAGTGAGTAGAGGTCAAATTGTTAGGATTTACGGTGCCCGATACAGGTATTTTATTTCAGTTTGCATTTTTGGACGTTTTGGGACCCCTATTGGGCATGTTTGTGATACTTTATGATTTCTTAGTGATGTTTTATAATACTTATCATATGATTGAATGAGTTTGATGTGGGATTGTGAAATATGAGATTATATTGATGGATTTTGATGATGGTTGTGAATTATATGATGTCCAGTAATGACTATTGTATGAATAAATATAAAACGTGTGTATTTGGCTAAGTATATTTGAGTATGAATGATTTGTATTTGGATGAGTGATATATAAATCTGATTGTATGTGAATGGTTAATAAATGGGCATTAACATGAATGGAGATGAGGAATGAATTTGGTGATATGGATTGACCATCGATAGACGCATATGCATTACCCTGGCTTGTGTGGTGATTAACAGGGAATGTATAATATATATGTATAGTTGTCTTGGCCTATGTGGTGATTAATAGAGCAGTGCATTACCACTGACCTGTGTGGTGTTTAATAGTGGGGAAGTGTGTGGTGGTTCCTGCGGGGATTGATAAGGTTCGCGCATAATGCGGTGCTCCGAGTTAATGCTTCTTAGGAGGTTTTAGTGCATGAGCATTGGTGTCAATTTGTTCATGGTGAATAATTATGTTAGGATGTGATTATAGACTTGGATGGCTTTGGAACTGATAATATTCTCACCGTACTATTTGTGGTTATTTTAGGTGAGGATGAACTAGATGTGGGTGGCACTGAAGGTGCCGAAAGTTAAAGTATGAGTTGCTTTGATAGTGTGACATTGGGGCAATAGGCTAGATTTGGAGTTTATTTCATTTGGACATTATGTTTCTTTGTTAGATACAATTGTAAAGTTTCTATTTTATAAATTTTGTTTCAAATTGGTTGGATGTTTATGAGTGTTTTATATGTGAACTATTTTGCTCAAGTTATAAATAGTTTTCTTCTTTATTATATTTGTATTATATGTTGGGATAGAATGGGTGTCATGGACAAAATTCAAAAGTTTGGCAAGTTTGGTTGCAAAAGTTCAATACATTTAGAATCTTCTTTTAGAACTTCATATCAGAAGTAAAAAGCAACCTCTAATCTGGTGTGATAATCAAGGGGCAATTCTTCTATCTACCGACCCAGTTTTGCATACTAAAACTAAAAACTTAGAATTAGATTTTTGGTTTATTAAAGAAAGAGTGGCTCGGGGACAAATTCAAGTTAGGCATATTCCAGTAAGGTTCCAAGTTGCATATTTATTAGATGAGTCTCAAAGTTCAGCTATCTTCCTAGATCTAAGAGATAAACTCACTATAGATAAACAATCCACGCTGAGTCTGAAGGGGGATAAAAAGGATATCAAGTCAACATTCTGTTGAAACCGTTATAGTTTGTTATCTCAATGTGAATAAGTTGACATCATAGTTGTTATTCTCTAAGTTAGTTTGATTGCCTTCTCTACTTGTATATAAATACTCTTGTATTGTGTTTCCTAAAATGATAGATTCATATTTCAGATTCAATCATTTCTCTTCTTTGATTGTTCTCTCACATCATGGAATTTACCTTGCTAATGAACATGGTGTTATAGATGTTGAGCTTCAATCAAAGTCTTCCAAAATCTATGTAGCACGAATTCAGACATGACACAGGGACACAATACGAACACAAGGATATAAAAAAATCAAAAAATATAGGACACATGAACATGAAAGAGTGAAGTTGACAGGCCAGGAGTGGTCGAGAATACTTGGAGAACCAGAAATGGTTTAAGAATACTAGCGTTGGTGATCGAGAATACATGGAGAACCAGAAGTAATTTAAGAATACTAGCATTGGTGAGTGAAGCCAACGAACCAGGAGTGGTCGAGAATACTCAGGTCCATAAGTGGACGATAATACTCAATGCTAGCCTGAAGAGGCTGAAAAGAAAATATTAGAGTTGATGAGTTAAGTCAACAGGCCAGAAGTGGTTGACAATACTTGTGTGTTGAATTGTTTATCTAGTGGAACCCTTCAATTATAATTTAATTTAAAAATATAAAAAAATCATGTCTTAAAATTATTTTTCAGAATTATAAATTTTAATAATTATGATTTGATTAAAATGTGTTTTTTTTTGTTCGTTCATGGAGTATCCACCGCCGACAACAGTGACTAATCTCCTCGCTATGTTTAGAGGCACCTCAAAAGGTAGGATAGCTAGCCCCAAGATTTAACGTGACTGCATACACAAGGCAGGATTCGAACCTCTAACTTTGATTAAAATGTGTTTGATTAGACATAAACATTTTTGACAATTTTTGTATATGTTAATTTATGTTAAATAGGAAAAAAATATATCATAACATTTTAAGGTAGTAAAATTATCTATTTAATTCGGGATATTAGATTCTTACCTATCTTATAAAAATAATTTTGTAAAAAATTCAATAAAAATTATTTCATAAAATAATGGTTTTTAAAATATTATTTATTTTAGTTAGTAAACTAAATGTTGGAAACTAATTTTCCTAATTTCAAAATTTCTAAGAAATTAAAAAAAAAATCATGTACAAACAGCTCTTTGAAATAATTATTATATAAGTTAGTAGATTTATTATACATGCTAATTTGTAAATGGGTTAGATTGTGATTTACACAGTCGATATAGAAAACGTCTTTAAGTTTTAGTTAATAAATAAAAGAGTTCATATTTTTTTAAGACTTCAAATGGTATGTATTGTTTTTAAACAAAGAAATTAATCAATTATTCATAAAAATTAAAAAAAAAAAAAGAAAGTAATTTTAAAAATAATTATCATAAAAGTTAATAAATATACTATGTAATATAATTTGTAATTAGATGATAATGTAGAAAATATTTACACAGTTGGTATAAATATTAATTTTCAAATTTTAAAATGATTATTATATAATTATCAATTTTTAATTATGTAATATTTTTTTATTGAATGTTAAGATAAAAATTATAACATCGGTATATATTGAAGTGAATTTTATAATTGTTATGCACTATTAGTATAAAAAAGTTTATTAATTAATAAAAAATTTATTATTATTATGACTTTTAAGAGACGTTTACTGCACTAAAATTAGTTTTTTATGGCAATTAATTTATTCTTTAGCAGTCATATAAATAATTATTATTTTTTTTACCAGTATTTAAATAATCGTTGGTGTATCCAGGGTCGCTAATACTATTATCGGCATTTATATAAAATACTGATAAAGACCTACTAAATTGTTAGAAAAATTTATGTATTTTTTGTGGCAATTCTAGTAACCATTTTAAAGGGTATTAAAAGTTATTTTTTTTCAATTGTCTCCTTTCTATCTATTTAGTGACTTTTATTTATCATTAGTCGATATGGGACTTGTAAGATGAGAGTTGTTTTTTATTTATATATTTTTAATTGTCTTGTTTCTTAAGAGATGTGAGACTTACCAAGGTATTACTCTCTAATTGTTTTATAGCACTATTGAACTTGGTAATAGTGGGTGATTTGATATCAATTTAGAATAATGAATTAGGAGGCTAATTTAACTCTACAAAATCAACTTGTAAGGTGATAGTTATTACTCACTTATATACTCTTTAATTATTTTATTTCTAATCAATGTGAGACTTAAGTTTTTTTCAATAAATAATTGTCACTAATAATAAATTTTAGTGTAATATAAATACATTCTTAGTTACTATTATATATTAGTCATTAATATTTTTATTATATAATTAAATAATGATAATTAAATTATTTTCATTAAATAATTATTGTTAATAATAAAAAAATTTATAGTAAATTGAGAGAAATTTTTATTTTTCATATTCAAAAATTGTTTATAAAAATTATAAATCCAGATAATGATTGATTAGTCGGTCATAAATGTTCTTGAATATATATATATATATATATAAACATGCATGATCAAGAGCACGTTCAGAATTCCTTTCTTTATATATATATATATATATATATATATATCATTTTGCATTAAATAGGAAAAAATATCATGACATTTTATCGGAATAATTTTTTTTTATATAATTTGAGAATATTATATTTTCATCTATTTAATATTCTGAAAATTTAAAAATATTGTAAGA